TCTGACTGGGAAAATAAGACAAACGTGACCCCCAAAGGTACATAAAATACTTAACCAAACTTGTTAGCAACTTGTAAATATAGTGTGTAGGAGTAAGGAGCAATAATGAAGCTTCTGACATCCGATTTACTCGGCTAAGGAGAATGGAAGACGTCTGTAATATTCCAGTGTAAGGGCAACGTACACTCAAAACAAATCCGATGGAAGACGTGCTAAGGGAAAGTGGAGTGCTGGCGGGTTGCAACATAGGAATACCTACGTCGTCTTGCCCGGGTACCGATGGTTGAAATCTGCCAATACCGATGTAAATTTAAGGAGTGTTAAATTGACATTAGTGGGGTTATTGGTATAATTATAAAAATATAATAACAAAGTTCCTATTTAAGTGATTGAACTGGATTAAATCAAGTATATTCCTTCGGAAACTCTTACGAAGTGATGTTCTCATAGCTGCAGTCACCGATGATTTTCCCAATTACTTATATATTCTGTCAAGTTACATTAAATGATGCTGTCTAAGAGATAATGAAAAATTAAATATTAAAAAAAAATGGTAATCATTCATGGCCAAGAAAGTCAGGAAGCAACGGCAAACCACCAGACTCATACTGACAAGAAGAGGGGAAATACGTGAAGGCGAGAAGCCGGCTGGGGCAGAAACAGCAACGTCTGTTGAATCGCTAAGATGTGATGAATGGTTTTGAAAACCGACAAGTTGAAGAATTGAGACACTTATGCAACACATGGGAATCTTTATTGAAGAAACGTTTCGCCACACAGTGGCTTCATCAGTCCAATACAAAGTAGAAATGGGTAAGGAGAGTAGAAGTTTTGAGGTAATCAGTCCCTCAACCTGGAATCGATGTGTTCAGTCCATCAAAACTTCTACTCTCCTTACCCATTTCTACTTTGTATTGGACTGATGAAGCCACTGTGCGGCGAAACGTTTCTTCAACAAAGATTCCCATGTGTTGCATAAGTGTCTCAATTCTTCAACTTGTCGGTTTTCAAAACCATTCATCACATCTGTCAGACACTGCAACATCATGGGATCTTGGTACAAAGACTTCAACGCTTGCCCAACCTTTGGACGACGACCTACTTACACTAGTGGCAGGTCCCACTGTGATCCCGCCTCCTCCTGCTTCAACTCATCTCACCGCAGTATATAAGCCACCTCTCTGGCCCTGTGCTGCACTTCCTACAAGAGTGATGGACTGAACACATCGATTCCAGGTTGAGGGACTGATTACCTCAAAACTTCTACTCTCCTTACCCATTTCTACTTTGTATTGGACTGATGAAGCCACTGTGTGGCGAAACGTTTCTTCAATAAAGATTCCCATGTGTTGCATAAGTGTCTCAATTCTTCAATCGCTAAGATGAAAGAAAAAGAGACTGCTCCAGAGGTCTCCTGAGTTTGCGAAATATCGCTGGAAAATAGTGTATAAAACGAGTGATTTTTTTCTAGTTTCTCTCTGGAACAAGTGATGGCTGGGTTCTGCTTCAGAAATGTCAGGAGCTGCATCTGGAACAAGTGATGGCTGGGTTCTGCTTCAGAAATGTCAGGAGCTGCATCTGGAACAAGTGATGGCTGGGCTCTGCTTCAGAAATGTCAGGAGCTGCATCTGGAACAAGTGATGGCTGGGTTCTGCTTCAGAAATGTCGGAGCTGATTGGAACAAGTGATGGTGGGCTGTGTTTCGAGATATCAGGACCCGCTTTAAAACAACAACAGGAAATCTTTGGAAATAATAGATGGGGGGAGGATAGACGGAGTAGCCAAGATACAGATAAAAAAAAAGAGGACTTTCATAGGTGGACTTTTTTTCGACGCTAACAGAAACAAAGGTGAAGTGGGATGTCTCCCCCGTTGTTGGTTTTGAGGAAAGCGGGGGAAAGTGAAGCTCCCCACTTTTTCTTTTTGTGTGGGGCTTAAGATGGCGGGAAAATTTCAAAAAAAAAGGGATTTGAAGAGCATGGAATCGGCGAAGCCTGGGCCACTGAAGATTTTAAGTACTCCCCTTCCCTTTCAAAAAAACACCTTTTCGTTACCACGTTAAAGTCAGAAACAATGGCTGTTTCTGTCTTTTTTCCTCTCTGTTAAGTTGTTTCGAGTGTGGAGCACATGGACCTCTACCTCTAAACCATGGCAAGTGGGTTAATAAAGTTTCTGGAGTGGTTCAGCATTGAAATGTACAAGAAAGCCGCATAAAACTGTGTTGAAGAAAGGGCGGGGAAACGATTATAATGCAGTAAAATTGAGGCTGACGCGAGCGGGTTTCGAACGACAAGTTATGCAAAATAAAAGGAGGCCAACTTGTCAGCAGATAGCTAGAGTTATCGAAATGAGAAATTCTCTCTTCTCTCTCTCTCTCTCTCTCTCTCCTCTCTTCTCTCTCTTCTCTTCTTCTTCTCTCTCTAATTCTCCCTCTATCATGCAGAAAACTTCATATTCTTCTTAGGTCAGGACTAATTTATCAGTTTGTGGTTGGTCACTAAGGATGAATGTAGCCCGTACATCATGAGCAAGTATTTATACACGAAATAATGATTTTTAAAATTCTTCGTATGTATATATATAATATATATATTATATCTATATATATATTATATATATATAAATATATATATATATATGTCGTGCCGATAGCAGAACTTGCGATCTGGCTTAAATAGCAACGCTCATCTGACCATATATGGCAGCGAAAATTTGTGTATTGCAATATTTTCGCTCAAAATCATTCTGAACCTACGGAAAAATATATTTCACTGTGTTGTTTAAGTATTAAGTATTGTAAAACAAAATCTAATATATTTAGTTGGGTTAGGCTAAAATAAATGATCTGTTATAATAGGTTAGGTAGTTTTCTAAGATTCTTTGGAGCAAAATTACAAATTTGTACATTACATGATGAAAAAATGTATCTTTAAACGTATAGAGGAATTTAGAAAGGACTTAATTTTTTTAATGAGTTCTTGCTAAATTTGACCAGTTTTAACATAATCAGCACGACATATATATTATATATATATACTATATATATAAAATATAATATATATAGTAACACTATAGATATATATAATATATATTTATATATATTTTTTATATATTTATAATTATATACATATATACTATTATACTATATTATATAATGTATAATATATATATATAGTATCACATATGTAAATGTAAAAACAAATATTTATATTATATTAATATATAAATTATATATAATTTATATAATATATTATATATATATAATATAGATATATTTATATATATATATATAATATATATAATATATTCATATTATCTATATATATATATATATCTTATATTATAATTATATATATATATTAATATATATATATTATGTTTTTTTGTCACAAAAAGGGAGAGGTGAGGTTTGATCCGTCGACAGTAAAACGCGACACAAGCTTCAACGAAATCAAAACAAAATTTTTATTACAAATGACTTTCGCAATCCAGTGGTTGGTTTTCAACTAATAAAGGATTATTATACTGGTATTTTATGTCCAATATTGATGAAATTTCCGACACAGCACCATCTGGGGAATTTAGTTCATGGAATATCTTGTATACTCCACTGACACCCTCAGACCAATCTTCTGGATGACTTACTTCTACTTAACAAATTGTCCAATACCCTGCAAGCTTCCCAGACTCAAAATAATCCCCGCCGGTATATCATCAGATGCAGCATTCTCCACCTTACCTCAACATTCTGTAACTGATATAAATTCTCGCGTACATTCACACCCAGGTGAAGAAGGGTCATCGACAAGTTGAGACCTTTGCAGGACTAGGTCTTGGCGACATTATACATTACATCATACCACCCAGGTAGATCTATTTGTGGATGAGACACTTATGCAGCAATATGGGAATCTTTATTCAGAAATATTGCAACATGGCTTCATCAGTCAAACAAAGAGGGGATTTTTCAACATTCATCACCAACTGTCAGACACTGCAGCATCATGGGACTTTGTTACAAAGAATTCTTCAACCACTTGTTTCAACTTTGGACGAAAGACCTACTTCGACTAGTGGATTTGGTACACTATGACCCGCTCCGCCTGCTTCACTCACCTACTACATAATAAGCCATGTCTACGGCCCTATGCTGTACATTCTACTAAGATTGATGGACTGAACACATCGACTCAGGCCGCAGGACTGATTACCTCATACTCTCCTTCCTCACCTTCTCTTTGTATTGACTGATGACTCCAACTGTGTGGCGAAACGTTTCCTGAATAAAGATTCCCATTTGCTGCATAAGTGTCTCAATCTTCAACTTGTCGGTTTTTCAAACCATTCATCACAGATCTATTTGTGACTTAATAAAGCCCACTGTGTGGGCGAAACGTTGTCAATAAAGGATCACATTAAACTGCATATGTGTTTATGTTTCCACTTCTAGTTTCTACATATTTTTAATAGGTGACCAACATTTTATGGTCATTACAAATCTAACAAGGTCAAATATGGCCTTACTGAAGGTTGCTGAATTTGACTATAGTCAAAACAATATACTTTGTTTTATTTCCTTACCTAAATGTGATAACGTCGTCAGTAAGTCTATATAACATCCTAAAAATTATTTCTGATTATTCTTTATTGACCAAATTGCATTTGGTATTTGGTAGGCAAGACACATAGGCAACAGTTAGGCAACTTTATTCCGAAACGTTTCGCCTGCACAGTAGGCTTCTTCAGTCGAATACAGAAAGTAGGCAGGAACAGTAGAGATGTGAAGACGATGTAATCAGTCCATCACATCTCTACTGTTCCTGCCTACTTTCTGTATTCGACTGAAGAAGCCTATTGTGCAGGCGAAACGTTTCGGAATAAAGTTGCCTAACTGTTGCCTATGTGTCTTACCTACCAACCTGTCGGTATTTTATACCATTTTGATGTTCATTTGGTATTTGTTTACAGCTGGTGGATAAGGTAATCGTGTGGTCATCTGTGTTAGAGATCAAGAGTGTCACTGTAGACGATTATACCAACTACACATGTACCGCCTATAATTCAGAAGGCTCCTATGATGTAAACTTCACGCTTGGACCTCCTATTATACCTGGCGTTACCAGTAAACTTGAACGTAAGTACTCTTTATTGGATTCTTAGTAATAATTCATGAACGTTCGACTCCATTACTACAATGCATTTTATGTCACTCGTAACTTGAGAACGTCTGATCCGATCGGTTTCGGATTTTCAACACTGGTGTACGGTAACCAGGACAAAATTCTAGGAGCTAGCATGTGTACGAGGCCTCTGACCAAAGTTACTGAACCCATTCCCAGCATCCTGGAATGGCTGGGATAACATCCAAAACACTTAGTGGTGTAGTTTTCTCAGTGGTGTAGTTTCCTCAGTGGTGTAGATAAATGTCTGCCACTTTGTGTGAAACAGTGGGCAGCTTTTTTTTTATTACCACACTGGCCGATTCCCACCAAGGCAGGGTGGCCCGAAAAAGAAAAACTTTCACCATCATTCACTCCATCACTGTCTTGCCAGAAGGGTGCTTTACACTACAGTTTTTAAACTGCAACATTAACACCCCTCCTTCAGAGTGCAGGCACTGTACTTCCCATCTCCAGGACTCAAGTCCGGCCTGCCGGTTTCCCTGAACCCCTTCATAAATGTTACTTTGCTCACACTCCAACAGCACGTCAAGTATTAAAAACCATTTGTCTCCATTCACTCCTATCAACACGCTCACGCATGCCTGCTGGAAGTCCAAGCCCCTCGCACACAAAACCTCTTTACCCCCTCCCTCCAACCTTTCCTAGGCCGACCCCACCCCGCCTTCCTTTCCACTACAGACTGATAGACTCTTGAAGTCATCTGTTTCGCTCCATTCTCTCTACATGTCCAAACCACCTCAACAACCCTTCCTCAGCCCTCTGGACAACAGTTTTGGTAATCCCGCTTTTATGCCCATTAAATCACGTTCAATATGGCCAGGATAGTGCCCATTAAGCTTGTATATCGGCAAATTTGTAAGTGCGAATGGTTGAAATCGGCGTGATAACTGGAGAATGCTTCTGATCGGCTTCAGATTTACAACTCAGGCGAGATTTTCGGAAAACAAAGTTTGGGTTGTTACGTGAGTCTCAGTTTTGTTTTGTTATTAATAAGTAAATGTCCTTTTCTGACTGTAAACTTTCAGTAGAGTTTATAAAGTCAGTGGGCTTTATTAAAGTCAGTGGACTTTATTAAAGTCAGTGGACTTTATTAAAGTCAGTGGACTTTATTAAAGTCAGTGGACTTTATTAAAGTCAGTGGACTTTATTAAAGTCAGTGGACTTTATTAAAATCAGTGGACTTTATTAAAGTCAGTGGACTTTATTAAAGTCAGTGGACTTTATTAAAGTCAGTGGACTTTATTAAAGTCAGTGGACTTTATTAAAGTCAGTGGACTTTATTAAAGTCAGTGGACTTTATTAAAGTCAGTGGACTTTATTAAAGTCAGTGGACTTTAATTAAATTAAGTGGATTTATTAAAGTCAGTGGACTTTATTAAAAGTCAGTGGCTTTATTAAAGTCAGTGGACTTATTAATCAGTGGATTTATTAAAGTCAGTGCGACTTATTAAAGTCGAGTGGTCTTATTAAAGTCAGTGGATTTATTATGTCAGTGGACTTTATTAAAGTCAGTGGACTTTATTAATAGGTCAGTGGATTTATTAAAGTAGTGGACTTATTAAGTCAGTGGGTCTTTATTAAAGTCAGTGGACTTTATTAAAGTCAGTGGGCTTTATTAAAGTCGTGGGCTTTATTAAAGTCAGTGGACTTTATTAAAGTAGTGGACTTTATTAAAGTCAGTGGACTTTATTAAAGTCTAGGTGGGCTTTTATAGTCAGTGGACTTTATTAAAAAGAAGACTTAGGTTTCATTTATTTTATTCAAATTTAAAATGTCAATTTTATTGAATGTTTTCTATGTAATAACAGAGAAGCTTTTGCTCGGCTTCAAACTATTAAAAACGTCAGCCGTACTTCTCGTTTGCATAGTACATATACATACTGGTTGTTTCAGCAAGACGCGTCCCTCACGAGAGGTTCCTTGATATTGGTTGAGGGGCTCTTGAATCTAGGGAAATTGGATACTGAGCTCCAGTTCCTGAATTATGTCTCTGTAATACTTCCATCCCCTAAAGGCTTCTGATGTATTAATGATACCCATGGAAGCTTTTGGCTCCCTCATGATTATATAGAGACGTGTTGTAGCTGTTGGGTGTCTTTATTGTCGAACGTTTCGCATACATCGGATAGGACTTTTCCAGTTCATAATAGACTGACGGCGAGTGGGTGGTCGTAGCGATAGAAGCTTAACATCGATATATCAGTCCATCATTCTTGTTGAATAGTATCTGAGGTGTGTCAGTCCTCAGATATTTTTATTCTTGAGTAGCTTTAGGTAGATGGATCGTTTTTATAAGGGAACCTGCCTAGTTATGGGACCAAGTAGGCTATGCAGTGTTCCTACATTCTTATGTTCTTATGTTCTTAAACATAAAATATCAAGAATATTGTGTATTCTCAGGTATACATAGTAATATTCTCGAGTTTAATATACTATTAAAATTTCATGCAGATTGGCTCGTTTAAGCATCAGTGGCACAAATAGCACGTCTGCTTTGCGTCAGCAACGGAGATCAAGCCTCACAGTCTTGCGCTGAATGACCCACATGGGTTTAGCAACATTTTTAATAATCAGTGTTTTAAAAGTCTTTCGTTTTATAACGTCAGAAAGCCAAATTCGATTAGCATATAATTTTCAACGCTGGTTCGTGGAACTGTCAGATGCAGCTTCCGTCATCTCAGTTCTACATAGTCCATTCTGGAAATTAATTTCCATATGAGATAACTTTGGAAAGCCTCTTCTGGGTGGCTTAAAATTTTCAACTCTCGTGTATCTTACACAGAAGGTGTTAATGGTGTGTGCAGGTGCCATTTTGCCACTGTCTAGAAATGGTATAGTGATATTTTGCAATATATAATTAGATTTTGTTTCCTGAACAAGGGGGGGGGGCGATTTGATGCTGGTGAAGGCCCTTGAAATCCAAGAAATTGGATTTATCCTCCACATGTTGAGATTAAATCTGAGTACTTCATCTGTTAATATTGGTTGTTTCATCATAGGAAATAAATGAGACGTTTTATTAGTATAAGTGGAACAAGTGCATGATAGTTTTATTAGTATAAGTGGAACAAGTGCATGATAGTTTGATTAGTATAAGTGGAACAAGTGCATGATAGTTTGATTAGTATAAGTGGAACAAGTGCATGATAGTTTGATTAGTATAAGTGGAACAAGGGCATAATAGTTTGATTAGTATAAGTGGAACAAGTGCATGAGAGTTTTATTAGTATAAGTGGAACAAGTGCATGAGAGTTTTATTAGTATAAGTGGAACAAGGGCATAATAGTTTGATTAGTATAAGTGGAACAAGAGCATGAGAGTTTTATTAGTATAAGTGGAACAAGAGCATGAGAGTTTTATTAGTATAAGTGGAACAAGGGCATAATAGTTTGATTAGTATAAGTGGAACAAGAGCATGAGAGTTTTATTAGTATAAGTGGAACAAGGGCATAATAGTTTGATTAGTATAAGTGGAACAAGAGCATGAGAGTTTTATTAGTATAAGTGGAACAAGGGCATAATAGTTTTATTAGTATAAGTGGAACAAGTGCATGAGAGTTTTATTAGTATAAGTGGAACAAGGGCATAATAGTTTTATTAGTATAAGTGGAACAAGTGCATGAGAGTTTATTAGTATAAGTGGAAAAAGGGGCTAATATTTTATTAGTATAAGTGGAACAATTTGCATGAGAGTTTTATTATTTATAAGTGGAACAAGTGCATGAGATTTTTATTAGTATAAGTGGAACAAGGGCATAATAGTTTTATTAGTATAAGTGGAACAAGTGCATGAGAGTTTTATTAGTATAAGTGGAACAAGTGCATGAGAGTTTTATTAGTATAAGTGGAACAAGGGGCATGATAGTTTATTAGTAAAAGTGGAACAAGTGCATGATAGTTTTATTAGTATAAGTGGAACAAGTGCATGATAGTTTTATTAGTATAAGTGGAACAAGTGCATGATAGTTTTATTAGTATAAGTGGAACAAGTGCATGATAGTTTTATAAGTGGAACAAGTGCATGATAGTTTTATAAGTGGAACAAGTGCATGAGAGTTTTATAAGTGGAACAAGTGCATGATAGTTTGATTGGAGAATGTATTTTCTGGTCGGCTTTAAACTCTTACTGCTGACCCATTGTTCTAAAACTTTCTTTAGCTTGAGGATCGTGGAAGCTCTCGTGCACCAAGTTTTTGTCATCTTAATAGCTAGATAATGTCTCTTTTGATCAGAAGTCACTGTGTGAGTTTCTTGGTGTCCCGTAGCTCGCTCGGCAGAGCACTCAGCTCACACACTGAGATCCGTGGTTCGGTTCCCCGGTACGGGTGGACACATTAGGACGTGTTTCCTCAAGACACTTGTTGTCCATGTTCACCCATGAGTATAATAGGTACCTGGGTGTTAGTGGACTGGTGTGGGTCGCATCCTGGGACTAAAATTGATCTAATTTGCCCGAAATGCTCAGCCATGGTCTGTATACCTTGTACATGTAGAAATAAAGATATTATTATTATTATTATTATTATTATTATTATTATTATTATTATTATTATCTAGAATAAATCTACGTAATGTTCATTTATGCCGATAATATGCTTGTCTCAACCTTATTGTAATAAAATGTAATTATGTTCCCAAGCTTAAATATAATTTGGTTACTTTCTTGTTAACGTAATTATGCAACTTATTTACTTAATTACTTGCCTGTTTACATAATTAAAACCTGGACGATATTACTTAGGGAAAAGTTTGGATTAATTCTGACCTTCCTGGAGGTGGTTAATAATGGTATAAAATACCGGAAAGTTGAAAATTAAGACGCATGTGCAACAGTTGGGTATTTTTATTGTTGAAACGTTTCGCCTACACAGTAGGCGAAACGTCGAATGCTTTTTCTCCAAGGTTGGACTCATCACATCTTTATTTCACCACTACTGGTCTCTCTAAATTT